CCCCAAAACCCCAAAACCCCAAAACCCCGTGCTGTGTTGGGAGTTTATTGGATTGAGAAGGGGGTAGGGTACGGGGTCATTGGAGCATTGCTTTGACTGAGGTTGAATGAGGACCTTGGGATTGAAGGGGTTATGCTGGAGGGTGGGTTTACTAGGGCAGGAGATCTTTGTTGTCGGTTAGATGGATTCTTTGGAATGATGGTTTGTTTTCTTTTGTTGGATTTTTTATTAGGGATATGAAAATTGATCTAATTAGAAATGTTAATCATATTACTCTTCATATTCCTGAAGGAACCATGAATATTGTCAAATAATAGGCTTCATAGAATAGAGTTCATACTTGCTCTGTGTTTAGCCATGATAATGACACTGTCAAACAACAAAATAAGGTTTGACTCATGATCTCAATATTATTATCTTGACAGTTCTAATGGACTTACAAAAATTAAGTACAATTCATAAGCAATATTTACTAGATAGAATAAAGTGATCTTACCAGATGAAGGTGCAGATCTGCCAAATGCTAATAATGACACCAACAATAATCTAGTAAACATGAACAGACTTGAATAGATTTTGGAGTATTTGGTTGGTTTGACTCCACCGAAGTACTCTGTTCAAGTCCAATACTTGACTGGATCAATCTGTGGAAATGATTTTCAGTACACAATGAACGATAGAATAAATAGCACACTTTTGAATATTCCAAGTAATATTTACAGTCCGAAGGATATTTGAGTCATCTTTGTTGAAGCATTGGAGTTATAAAGCTCAGAGAAAATTGACAAAGTTGTGAATGAACACTATTGAATGAAAAGTCTGATGCAGATGTTAAATGTGAAGAACTTAAACAGCTTATAGATAATAATGTTACACTTTTGGTTCTTCAAGTTCTCTGTCCATCTTATTAAAATAAATACTCCTACATTAATGACCCTGATAAAAAAGATAATAGCCATCAATAACAAATAGTTAACAATTGAGCCTCCAGACCTCAACCAAAGGAAGTTTACGTATTCATCTGACTTGAGATATGATATCCAGTCAGAAATAGCTAACACAAACGGAAAATTTTAGAATTTAATAAAATAAAAGGACATCATTGTGAAGCCCATTCCATTAAGGAAGCCTATCATGTTTGACCAAAAATAGTCTGGGATCAAAGGTAATAATATTACTAGCTGCAGATTATTCATAATACTGAAGATTGAATTAATAGATAAGAGTGACAGAACAGATGTAGAGCTTGCCAACACAGCACTAGATGTAGCCAAGGCAGCTATTGCCTCAGTAGCTCTAGCTGTTGTAGTAATCTTAGTACAAGATCTATCCTCCTCAAAGTGTTGATAATCACATACTCAAGTCTCTCAAAGACTGGGACTACCTAGCACCCAGATTTCTCAAAGCTCAATAGATCACTCTTCAACAGTGATCTCAAACATTTTGTAACAAAATTCACTATTTAAGGAGATCTGTAGATAAATGAAAAAGTTTTATGTTTCAGAAAGTATTTGGAGGAACTGAGAAGGAACTCTTGCTTTCTTGTATCCAATTTTACTCATTCAGGAATTGCATTGAAGTCAGTCTGAGATAAACTGAAGCTGATATATTGACTGTATTTATTAATTTAACCCCATATTAAAATACTCAATATTAAACAATAAAAAAGGGGTTTTGGGGTTTTGGGGTTTTGGGGTTTTGGGG